AAGAAAGAAAGAAAGAAAGAAAGAAAGAAAGAAAGAAAGAAAGAAAGAAAGAAAGAAAGAAAGAAAGAAAGAAAGAAAGAAAGAAGAGGGAGGGAAGATAGGAGGAAGTAATTTCTTTTTCTTTTTCTTTTTCTTATGCTTAATATTCTTTATTAGCCTCAACTCATCCTGAGCCTTAGTGCCCTAGTAGTGACACTATGGTTACTAGACTGTGCCATGCTTTTAGAGTCATTCTTCATCCTACCCTTGCTTCATGTGTCTTAAAATAAAAGTTGATTAAGGAGCTCCCTGTACATCCACATTCTCATCTTGGGGCAGCTTCTTCTTTTCTTTGTCCTTGAAATTGTTTGTTTCCATGTTCAGCATCTCATTTTCTAGGGCTTCCCATTTGAGGGAACCCTTGTCCTTATCCTAGATAGTCTGTCCTCTTTTACTCATTTGTGGACCTTGATAATCTCTCACCCTGGCTTGAGGTACTAAGTTCCTGAACTTTTCTCTATTATGCTTTATTCCTTTCAGTCTTTCCCCTGGCTGCTGCCAACATATCTATCTCAGTGCCTAGCTCTGACATTCCCTCCCTCCTTTCTTCCTCCCCCTGTCTGCCACACACTCTAGACCCACAAATGTGCATTTTCTAGGGTTTTTATTTACAAGGGGAAAAGAATATATAAATTCAGAAATGCCAAGATAAGAAAATTAGAAGTGTATATAAAATATTCTACTCAGCCAAGATTGGAGAGGACCCAAGCTTGCTAAGTTATTTTCTAGTTCATGTTTCCCAAGCCTAGCTCAGTCCCATGACTCCCTAAGCCTGGAAAGCATGCCTCTATGCTGGCCCCAGAAGAGAGAGGCCAGACCACCCCTGCTCCTACCATCACTAATTTGGGGATTGGCCCACCTAGGCACTCTGGACCAAGCTCACTCACCTCCTACAATCCCAAGGTCACTATCAGACAATTCAGAAAGCCTTTCTTATTGTCAAGATACTTTTGGCATTCTACTCGTACATTCCTACCTGTCTAAGTAGCTCATTTTCCAGGAGGGAAGAGGAATAAGACCTCATAAAAGATGTTACAATTGCATCCATGACCTAGGAAAAATTAATTCAACCTCATACCCAAATCATCCCCACAGTTCATAGTAATCACAACAAATCATATTTCTGTGGAGCTTTACAGTTGACAAAGCATTTCTCTCACGATTCCATGATATAGCTAGTACATGCGTCCCCATTTTACAGATGATTAAACTGAGGCCTTGAAGTTAAGTAACTTCAGGGTCCTGGCTAGTGTGTATCAGAACCAAGATTCAAACACAGGTCTCCTGATGCTCACGGTTTAGGGTCCTTCTATACCAACACTGCTCTTTCCCCTGTATTATATTGAGGCTACCCTTTCCTAACAAGATCTAATCCAAGTTTTTATTTAGGATAAGGGAGACCTGAGTATGTCTGCAGGCAGCAGGGAGGGAAGAGAAATTGAAAACTCAGGAGACTGAGTATGTAATTGATAAAACAAGGTCCCAGAGGCAATGGGGTGTGATCAAAGACATATAGCCTTGGAAGAAAAAAGGGTTAGTTAGCTCTTCCTCTGAGATGGCAGGGAAGAAGGACAGAATGGGTGGAAAAAACAACTAAAGGTAGACACTCTTCTCCCCAAAGGAACACCCCAGTGCAGGTAACCCAGAACAAGACCCTGGCATATGGCGTGTTCCACAGAGCCTCCCAGCTGGCCTACCTCAAAGAGGCTGGGAGCTTAGACAATATTTCCAAGCAAGAGAGTCCAAGAGAAATCTGGCCAAGGGTCCCTGCCAGCGATTGAAAGCAACAAATCCTACTTTTTGCCTTCTCACTTTGAAAATGGCACACATTTTAGCTCTGTAATCATGGTGCATTTTTTTTCCCAGTTCCATACGGTAAAAAAGCTTCAGCAGATGTCTCCTCCATCTCCTTCCCACTCATGCCTCCTTTCAAGAAAGTGACAGCCTATCTAGGGCCCCCATATTCTGCCTTGCTTAGCCTGACCACAGCCCCAAGGGGAGTTGACATTTGAGGTTACAGATTGGGAAAAGGACCCTCTCTGGGACCAGAGCCATCAGTAGGGTGTGATAAATCAGGGTGCTCACCCTTGGGACTGTGCTTAGGGTCGGGGGAGGGTAGTACCTAGCTTTGCAGTGACTCAGGGAGCAGGTGGGAGGAGTAGATGGCATTACCAGCTGGTGCGAAAAAACACCTGGCATTCAGCATGTAGCCCCTTCCTTCTCTTACCTCCCCCAACCCCCTACTGTCACCAAGGCAACAAGGGGGAACAGAGCTTAGGGCCAGCTGTCTGGCAGCGCCTTCCCATTCCCCTTGCTCAGTTTGCCCCCTTCCTGCCCTCTCCTGTCTGCTTCCCTGCCCAGGGAATATTCATTGGCTATTCATTGTAATCTGAGGTCACCTGAATCTTGGGGGGAATCTCACCCTAGTGATTAGGGTCAATGATCTGGTCTGGCCCCCATTGAAGGTTTGGTTCGGGGAAAGTATGGCACGAAATGGTCCCCAGTGGACCTAGCTGTGGAATAGGGGAGGGAGGTGGGCTTCTGGAGTCAGCAGAGACATCTTGATGTAGGTCTCCCCACCAATGCCACTGTGACCACTTCTGCTGCTGCCACTGCCGCTGCCACCGTGTAAGCATCACATGCCATGGCCCCAGTTCTCTGTTCCTCATTCTTGAAGTCAGGAGCTTTGAGTGAGGAGCTGTGAGATCCTGCAGTTACAGCTTTCTCACACAACAGCTGACTCTGAGTGCCTTGGCCTGGGCCTGTCATAGCACTGCTCACCCTGTGCAGGTGGCACTGGGAAGCACCCGATGTTCACTTGTCTGTGATCTCATGCTTCAGGTCACCCCCTCCCTGGTTACCACTGCTGATGGTGACTGAAAGTTCTCCCAGGAGCACGGTGAGCGGGCCCCAGCCTGCCTACCCCACATCTCTCACTCCCCTCTTTTTCCATCCCCCTTTGCCTTAGGCCTCCTCCCTTCAGCCCGGGTGCCAAGTGTGGCCAGGGCATCCTGTAGCCATCCAGCCTTCTTTTGTGACCAGCTCAGGCAGGACAGTTCCCTAGCACTTAGTCACTAACCCAGCTCAGCTGTTTTAGACTGGTAGAGAGGTAATGTAGTTTAATGTTCTTAGAGTCAGAAGACCAGATTCTACATAACATTACTACCACTTATTAGTCAAATGTCAAGTACTCTACCCTTCTCCAAGCCTCAGTTTGCCCATCAATAAAACGGGAGTGATAAAGCTTGCACTTTATAGGTATGACATGAGAATGATATTTTTCTAGTCTTAAAGGATAAAAGCTGGAAAGATCTTTAGTACAACTTCATTTTATGGGTTGGAAAACTGACACCCAGAAACAGGGACATAACTTGCCTAAGGTCAGTGACCAGGCCAGAAATAGAGCCCAGGTGTCCCGTCACTCAGACCAGTGTTTTTCTCATGGCCTCTTCTTTCCTCGCATGGATGGGAAAGGTATTTTTTAGTCCTGAGGTGTTTATTATTAGCATGATAATAATTCAAGATCCTTCGAGTATTTTTATCTCTGTTGCCTAAATCCTCTTGATTATTATATCTAGGCTTCTTTCCTTTGCTCCTTAGATGTCAGCATTTCAGGCTAACACCCTCATTCGAAAGGTGAAGCGCACGCTGCCCAGCCCCCCCCCCAGAGGAGGCCCAGATGCCTCCCCCAAGCCAAGCACATTCCCAGATGTACATGGCCAGCCTCCTTCCGAAGGGCCTGGCAGGGCCTCCCGTCCAGGTGACCAAAGCCAGCCTGCTCAAGGAGCTGGACCGTGACCTCAAGCTGGTGGAGCATGAGTCTACCAAGCTGCGGAAGAAGCAGGCCGAGCTGGATGAAGAGGAGAAGGAGATTGATGCTAAGCTGAAGTACCTGGAGCTGGGGATCACTCAGAGGAAGGGGTCCCTCATGAAGGACCGCGTTGGCCGAGATTACCCCTATCTTCGGTGCCTTGGGGAAAACCGGGACTACATGTCCGATAGCGAGCTCAACAATTTACGCCTCACTGGCTATGAGAGTGGGGCCGTCCACGTGAGGCCAAGCATGGCCCCAACCAATCAGTACACGTCGGCCTCCTCCTACCCTCCCTATCAGTACCCACCAGGGCAAGGTCCCCCCCCGGCCCCCACAGCCTTCCAGCAACCCCGCTTCCAGCCTCCCCAGTACCCTGTGGGCAGTGCTGGCCCCGCACAGAATGGCTTCCAGGCCAACCAGGTACCTGCCTACCCAGCTCAGAGCGCGTACCCAGCCCCTGCTTTCCCTCCAAGTGCAGGCTACCCCCCTGAACATGGTCTCCAGGGCCAGCAGAACTTCCGCCCCGCTCCCCACTACCAGCCCCAGACGACTTACCCGGGTCAAATTCCCCACCCACCCCCTCAAAATGCCCTTTTTCCAGACCCATCTGACAGTCACGCCTCCCATCAGAAGCCAAGGCAGACCTCACTAGCTGACTTGGAACAAAAGGTCCCTACAAACTACGAAGTGATTGCAGCGGCCCCGACCGTAATGTCCTCGGCGCCTTCAGAGCCCACATACGGTGCACCAGCGGTGACCAGCAGCTATGACCAGTACAAGGCTTCGGAGCCCCCCAGGCCCGGCGTGAGCCAGAGCCCTGGGCCCACCTACTCTTCTGAATCACTGTACACCAACCTGGAGCAGAACATTCCTAGGAACTATGTAATGATTGACGACATCAGCGAGCTGACCAAGGACAGCACGCCCTCGGCAGTAGAAAGCCAGAAGCCAGAGCCCCGGCCCCAAGGCAGTAACGGGCGTCACGCGAAGGACAAAAGCGACCTGGGAGAGCCCGAAGGCCCCAGTGTTTCCTGCTGTTACTCAAAAGGGGACGAAGAGTCTGAGGAAGATGTGTATGATCACCACGGCACAGACCACCGCGGGAAGAGTAGCTATCACCGGAGCTCAGACAGCAATGGAAGGATGTCAGCCAGTGGAGGGGGGTCCTCCTACTACTATGGGGACAGCGACTACAGACACTCATCTCGGCCGGAGAAACATGGCTCCAGCATAGGAGGGCCAAAGCACTCTTCTAAGAACCTGGCCCCGGCCGTCATCTCGTCGAAGCGCAGCAAGCATCGGAAACAAGGCATGGAACAAAAGATCTCCAAGTTCTCGCCTATTGAAGAGGCAAAAGACGTTGAATCTGATCTGGCCTCCTACCCCACGACACCCTCGGTCAGCAGCAGCGTGTCCTCCAGAGGGAAGAAATTTCAAGATGAGATCACCTATGGCCTTAAGAAGAACGTGTACGAACAGCAGAAATACTATGGAGTGTCAAGCAGGGACCTGATAGAGGAAGATGACCGAGCGTACAGCAGCAGGTCCAGATCGTCAGCTAGTTACGGCGGCGAGAAGTCCGGCCCTGACATGAGCAGCAGAGGCAAGTCGTATGAGCGTGAGCGAGAGAGCATGGAGAGATTACAGAAGGCCAGCTCGAAGCCATCGTCCCTGAGCATGTCCCAGAGCCGAGGGCGGCCCCCCATGCGTAGCCAGGCTTCTGAAGAAGAAAGCCCCGTCAGTCCGTTGGGAAGGTCCGTGGGAGGACCCCGCTCTTCGGGAGGGCCGCTCCCTCCAGGGGCTGGAGACGGCTGCTCTCCATTCTGCTCCAGTCACTCCTTGCCTGATGTCCAGGAACACATCAAAGATGTGCCCAGGACCCACTCGTACAAGCACGAGGAAGGTTACAACCTGGACGATTCCCACTGTGTGGTTTCAGACAGCGAAGGTAACAGCTCTCTTTGGTGATTTCTGACAGAGCATGTTCAAAGCTGAGCTTGTGCAAAACCAGTACGGGGCCCCTGCTGTTTGCCTGCCCGGTGCCATGCTATCGTCCCGCTGCAGGCTTCTGTTGGCCCAGCATGGGCATGGCCCAGTTCCGTGTCTGCCCTGCCGGTGTCCTGCGTGTGTGTGTCCCATGTGGTAATGCTCTTTCTGGGTCTCTGGAGGGTGGGTCCAAGGCTTGGGAGGGGCTCTGTCTTTTCTTTTTTGCATGTGGTGAGCTGCTTGCATTCTTTCATTTCATTGCATGGCTTCAGCCTGGCCTACGTTCCCGGTGCCCAAGCGAGAGATTGACTGTGATCTGTTTTTGGTTTCTGAAGCTTATCACTTGGGTCAGGAGGAGACAGACTGGTTTGATAAGCCCCGAGAATCCCGTTCAGAAAGGCTCAGACATCATGGTGGCCACACCTCCTCCTCCTCCTCCTCCCAGAAAAGACCCCCAGTCAAACACACTTATCATGACTATGATGAGCCCCCTGAGGAGGACCTGTGGCCACATGATGAGGGACCACAGGGCCGCCATTCTTCCAAAGAGCATCGGCACCATGGGGACTATGGCCGGCACTCCTCGGGGTCTTCATCTTCCCGCCACCAGGGTGAGGAGCCTTCTCGAAGGGTCTCGAAGCCACACCCCCGAGACTCCGGCCGCCACGAAGGCAGACCTCACTCACAGCCTTCTTCCCAGAAGAAGGCTCAGCAGGCCGACCCAAGGAGCCAGCCATCCTACCCCAGCTCCCAGTCGGAATACTCACAGCCATCCCGCCAGTCCGCGGCCTACCACCATCCCTCAGAGCCCAAAAAAGCTCAGCGGCCAGTGCAGTCCGGCCCCTCGGCTCAGCAACCGAAGTCTGAGCCTCTGGCCCACTCTCAGCCACAGCAGGCAAGGCAACCTCCGTCAGGACCTTCCCAGCAGCCGCCGCTGCCGCAGTCTTCCAGGCAGCAGCAGTCACGCCAACCCCCACCACAGCAGCAGCAGACGAGCCATGGGCCACAACCGACTCAGTCTCAGACACAGCAGACACCGTCACAAGCTCGGCTGCAGCAGCAGCAGCAGCAGCAGGGGATCCCAGGGCAGCCTTCCCGGGGCCAACAGCCCCCGGCTGGTCAGCAGGCTGGCAAGTCAGTGCCAGGCCATCCCCCTTCAGCAGGTGCCCAGCCTGCAGGCCCGGTGAGTATAACTCAGCGTTTGGGGGTCCTATTCTCCCCACTCTCTCCCCTCCCACCAACCTGGCTGCCATGTGTATGGCAGAGCCTCTGGGAGTCCCAGGAAGTTGAGGCTGATAATAGGTGTCTTCAGGGTCTAGGGGGAGGTTAGATGAAAGAGACAGTTCAGCATAATCGGTGCTTTCATTAACCTAACAGCCAAGATTCCTTGGGTCCTGTGTAAGCCCCCTTTCCCAGGGGGCAACTTCAGAAGTCCTGAGGAAGCCTGCTTCTTAGATACGGGGCTGCAAAGACAAACCATCTGGCTAAAAGAAAGCAATCTTGGAGGTGGGCAGGAGCAGGACTAGCTGGAGGAAGCCTGTTTTGAACTGGACACAAAACAACTTCTGCTTGCTGCGGAAGTCATCTGCTGTGAGCCACGTGCAAGCGCCTGAGGGCCAGGGAGCCCGGGACTGGCCCTTGTCTTACATGCCCACCTGTCTGCATCATAGCCCGAAACAGAGATTCCCATAGTAGAACTGAAAGGGACGGCAAAGATCACTGTTTCATTCTCTCCTTTTACAATCAAAGAAACAGGCTTAGGGAGATCATCACATGGCTTTCAAATCACATACATTCATAAGGTTTAGTGGTGGAAGGGCCCTTAAAAGTTTTGTAACCCAACTCCATGATTTCATAAATGGGGAGACTGAGGCCCAGAGAGAAACCAGCTTTTTAAACAGGCCCCTCCATAGATTCATACCAGAGCCACTTTTTGCCCTTACAAACCTCCATACTGAAAGCTAAGGCCCCATCAGGCTTATGACCCAGCTTGTGTGGTTCTGACAGGTTTTCTCAGCAGAATCTACTATAAAGATCTAGAGCCAGGGCTTCCTTAACTCCCCTGGCCTGGGGGTAATGGACTTATTCAGCTGCTGCTTGGGCCTTGAAGAGCCTTCCCCTGGAGTCCACGCCAACCTCAGCCGTCCTGGGCCCTCTCCTTTGTAGGGCTCATGCCTTTTATACTCTCTACCCCAGGAATCATCTCACACTGTCCTACTAAGTCCAAACCCATATGGAGTTGCCTCTGGGCCTGGCCAGCCTCTCTCTAGTCTCTTGTCCTGCCCTCAGCCTCCATCCTTCCCTAAGGAACCTTGGGAGCTACTGCACTGGGATTCAGGGAGTGGTGCCCCACCTTGCCCCATTCCTCTTTACAGATGTCCTGATCACCTGTGGCCCAGGCACCACACTCTTGTGGTGAAAGTCTGTTCCTGAACTCTGGGCTGATTCCAGGCCTAAATGATCAAGGAGTGGGAGGAAGGAAAGGTAAGAAAAAGATGTGCCCAGAAGTCATGGTCCTAACTAAGAAAACTTTAATATTGCAGCTGAAAGCTGAGCAGCTGGACAGCTCCAAACCTACCGCCAAAGTGCAGCAGCAGCAGCAGCAGCAGCAGCAGCAGGGGAGGGTCCCGCACGCCCAGCCACAGGGGACCACCACTGCAGGTGAGACTTCAGCCCTAGCGTTCACAGGGGATGCTGCCTACCTCCACTCTGATCAGAATCAGCCCCAACTTCTGTTGACTCATGACTGAGAGGCCCCTTGACCAGGGGCCAAATTCTCCTGTCCTTGGGGGTACATTTGTTACCCCTGGAGAAGGATTCGCTACAGCCAAATGGATCAGAAAAGGAGAGCCCAGGGTCAGAGGGGATCACAAGCAGACAGGGGTTATAGAGGTAACCCTGGTACTACAAGTGCAGGAACCCTAAGTGGAAGTATTGTCTTCTAGCTTTAGCTTTGCCCTTGTGGGATTCTGGAGCATGCTCCTCCCCGACCTCCTTCCTCCCGTCCTCACCTCCCCATTTTGTCCCCACCTTTTGGGTTTTGTTTTTCATTGTTCTCTCCCTTATCTCCTCCTTTCCCCTCTTCCTCTTTCATCCTTTTCTTCTTCCTCCTCTTCCCCTTCCTGTTCTTCCTTCTGTCCTCCTCCTCCTCCTCTCCTCCTGGTATCATATTCCATGTCCTCATTCCATCTGGTCAGATTCAGAAACACAGAGCTTCCTGGCTGTCCCCAATATTCTAGGATCCTCCAGATCCCAGGGAGGGAAAAGGGAAAGCCAAGACCAAGTGGCCTGTTCAGGGTAGCCAGTGGTATTGATGGTGTGGCCCTCCAACAGGGGCTAGTGGATAGTTTGGAATCACCCAGGATTTTGAATTTCTTCCTCAGGTACAAAAGTGGGAGCAAAGCCCGGGGGAGTCCCACCAGCATCAGGAGCCCCCATGGGCCAGCCTGGGGCCGATGGAGAAAGTGTGCTCTCCAAAATCCTTCCTGGAGGGGCAGCAGAACAAGCAGGCAAACTGACTGAAGGTATAGCCTGGACTTTCAAAGATACTGCCTAATGGTCTAACCCCAACCTCCCAGGGCTTAGAGATAGATGACCCAAGCCCACAGAGAGGCAGTGACCCACCCAAAGTGACACAGCTGATCAACAGCACAGCCACAGTTTAAACCCAGGATCATAAACAGAGAACTAGAAAAAAAAATCTCAAGGGGCTGCTAGGTGGCACAGTGGCTAGAGCTCTGGCCTTGCATTCAGGAGGACCTGAGTTCAAATCCAGCCTCAGACACTTGATACTTACTAGCTGTGTGACCCTGGGGAGGTCACTTAACCCCAATTGCCTCACCAAAAAAAAAAAAAGATTAAAAAACAGGGTGGGTTGGGATGACTTGTGCTATACTAGAGGGGTTTGCCTTGGCAAAGAGAAGGGCCACCTCTTGTTAAATAGGGGTGAAGAGAAAATAGTAGTGGAAAGCAGAAGTATAACTAGTCAGATGCCAGTGGGGCAGTTGTACCAAATGCCATTGGCAGAAGAGATTATGATAAGCTGCCTCCAGTCTCCCCCCACTCTGGTTCAACTTTCCTAAAGTTGGCCCTTGGACTTAGGGGTGCTTCTGTCATCACCAAAATCCACCTAGGGACTCTGACTGTGGCCTGAGATTCTCCAGCTGTACCATGGTCCACCAGACTCAGGATGTCAGGGCCCAGAAAAGCTAGCTTAAATCTTCCAGAGCTGGAGTCTGGAATAGGTTCTCTCACCTTCCCCCCACTGCCCCCCTCCCCCACTATCCCAATGTAAGAACAGCAGGAGATGAGGGCCTGCTGGCTAAGGAAGTAGAACTATGTTCCCCTTCTAGGAGCTCCCCATGTCTTGGGTTGAGTGTGTGTGTGTGTGTGTATGTGTGTGTGTGTGTGTGTGCGCGTGTGTTCAAGTGGGTAAAAGACTGATCCTGTAAGAACAGGACAGGCAGGCCAAGAAGGCATGTTGGGTAAATGTGGGGTGGATTATGTGAGCCCAGGTTGAGAGAGAGGTAGTGGGGAGAGAGCCGTGGTGATATCCAGAAGAGGAGTCCAGGCTGAGTGTTGTGCTGGGAGGGGGGATGGTCGAGTTAGACAGGCAGGAAGGCCAGGGAGCCTTGTCCTTTCTGAGAGAGGTGGCTTTCCATAACTGTTCAGTGCCCCCTAGAGACTCCCCAGGGAGTCCGACTCACATCCCCAACTCTCCTTTTTTCTTTGTGTTTTACAGCTGTGTCTGCTTTTGGAAAGAAATTTTCTTCATTCTGGTGATCCTGTGCTGTAGGGTGAGTGGATATCTCATGAGAATCACTGGAATCGTCCCCAAAACAGAAAGAGCCTGATTTGAGGATCTCTCACCTTCTTCTTCCCACCAGGCTTTTGCCTAAGCTAGGCCTCAGGGATCTGGTCACATCTGAGTTCCTAGGCCAGCACAGCCCTTTTCTGCGCTGGGTTCCAGCCACCCTCTCTTATCCAGTAGGACATACCTGTCTGTCTGAACAGCAGAGAATGACCCCATTCTCCTGTCTAGAGGAGAGGGGAAGAGGCTAGTGGAAGCCATTCAGGTCCCTGCATTAGCCCCATACAGACATGTCTTACACATCAGATCATGTCAAGCCTCTATGGTAGAGGCCAATGTCTATATATGAGAAATGTAGCCACTACCCAACATCCAATTGGGGTCATGGCCATCCCAGCTGAGATGGGCTTTCCAGCCCCCCTGTTCTGGCCGTAAGATCTAACCAAAAAAGTTTGTGAAGCCAATGGTAAGCCCTAGATTATCGAACAGGCAGACATCCATCCCCTTCCCTCAGGTTCCATAGCCAGCATGGTACCTAGAAACTACAATGATTCTAACTGCTTTTTCTCTCCTCCTTTCTCTTCCCCTTCTCTGCCTCTGATCTCCCTGTCTCTCTTCTTTTGTCTCTCCCTGGACTGTCCATGTTATCTCCCTCCCCACTGGGTAATCTCCAACTTGGTTCCTCCTCTGATTCTGGGTTCTTCCTGCTCCCCTACTCTTCAACTCCCCCATAGATGTTTTGGAAGATGAATGGAGATAAAGTCATTCCTGTGGAAAAACCTATGAAGAAACTAATGGATTTCACCACAGCCTAGGACTCTGCGTATAACAGTAAGTGTGCTGCCAGGGGTGTTGGGGCACAGGAAGTCACAGGAGCCTAGATTTATTTAGAGCTGAAAGGGACCTTGAATATCATCTAGTCCAAGCCTTTCCTTTTACAGATGAGGAAACTGAGTCTTGGAGAGACTCAGTGGCTTGCCTGAATCCACATGTAGTAAATAAGTGAGCCATGTTCAAACTAAGTTCCTCTACCTGCAGACGCAGTGTCTTTTCTATTGTTCACTGAATAAGGTCCATGGATTGGAGCTGGCTTGGTTTTTTTTTTTTTGTTTGTTTGTTTGTTTGTTTGTTTGTTTGTTTGTTTGTTTTTTGAATTGGAGCTGATTTTCTCCCTGAGCATGTTCTCATTCCCATGAGTCTCTGCCATCATGGAATTCCTTCATCAATAAACATATGCTAAATACCTTCTGGGAACAAGGCCCTGAGTTCTGCAACTCAGGATATAAAGGTAGACAATTGCACATGTCCTGCCCTCAAGAAATTTGCTTGTGAACAGAAGGGAAGCCCACAGACAGAAGTAACAACAGCTCACAGGGCTTCTAACACACTTTCCTCACTGCAAACCTATGACATAGAAAGTGTAGGTATTTTTTTTTAATCCCCATTTTACAGATGAAGAAACTGAGCTTCAGATGGGGCAAAATGACTTACCCGGGGCCACATGGCTAGTGTTGGAGCCAGGTCTTATGATTTCATATCCAGTGCTTTTTTCATTATACCATGGTGTTTCTGATGAGCCAGGAATGTGAAGACCAACATTGAGCTATGTTGTCATCAAGTATGGGTCTACAATGTGCTAAGCCCTCTCAAGAAGCTTATGACCTGATAGGAGGAAAGTAAATAGCCAGGGTGAGAAGGCAGATGATGTAAAGGCAGAAGAGGAGGTCCAGAAAGAGCGCTATGAGACATCTGAGGAGAGAGAGAGAGAGGCCACCTTCACCTAGGGAAGAGTGAAGAGGGGATCAGGAGGAGGGAGCAGCTGAGTTGGTCCTTCAGGTTAGAGAGGGACTTCTACAGCTGGAGATGGATGGGGAGACCATGCTAGACTGGGAAGTCAGTGGGAGCAAAGGCATGAAGATGGAAGAAGAGTAGAGGACAGAAAGCCAATCCATCTTGGTCCAGTCTGACCTGACAAGGACAAATGAGACTGGAAGTGGAACCACCAAGCTGGCACTGCCCAGCTGGAGTGGGTGAGATGGGCTTTCCTGAGCAACAGGTGCCCTGCACATAGTAGGTGTTTAATAAATGTGCTTTGAATCAGATAGAATAGAAACAGCTGAGACTCGGGTGATGAGTTCCCGCAGAGGCTGAGTGTAGAGAAGCCTTCAAGTTTCCACTCATGTCTGGGAGCCCCACTGTGCTCAGGCTTGAGGCCTGGTCTGTTTAGGGGCCTGTGGAGTGAGAGGCTGAGGAACACAGACCCAGAGCTCAAGGGAAAAATGGTTCTCCCTGGAGAATTTCTCGAGAATTATCAAGCAGGCTAGGGGAGAAACTTTATTAGCAAGTTTGCTGAGTGACAGGTTTGCAGTGATGTAATGGGAAACAGCTCCTGAGACTAAAGCCCCCTGTCTTAGGGCTAAATAATATAGCTTCCATCTTCCCTGATAGGGCTGAGTGGGATGTCCCCCATCTGCTGGCCCTTCTTTTTTGGACAAAGGTTCTTATGCTCCTTCCCATACCTCTTACCTCCCTTTGTTCTTCTAGCCGGCTATCTCTTTCTCTCCATGTTTTCCCTGCCCTACACCCAAAGAAGTGTCTGTAGGGAATTCACAGGACAGGGCACAATTAATCCTAGGTTGTGAGTTCTTGGGCATTGAAATGAAAATTGTCTAAGTCAGGGACCCTGAATCCGTAGATGGGGTGAGGTGGGACAGTGGAGAGTATTCCTTGCTCTACCCAGTCTGTAGGGTAGAGGGAGGGGATGGGGGCTGTTAGTTAATTGACTTATTCCCTAAAACACCCCATTTTTTAGAATCATAGAATGGCAAAACTAGAAGGGATCTCAGGGGTTGTCTTGCCCACCTCCCTCATTTAATAAGAGAAGGGAACTAAGACACAAAATGGTTATGACTCATGCCCCAATGCTTTTCCCTTGATGCTGGACATATGGCCAGTCAGTGCCAGAGCCAGGACCCTAGGCTTCTGACCCAAGCCCCTGACCCAAGCCCACCGCTTTCTGATTGTTGCTTAGAGTGAGTTGGCTTATTAAGCTATTAGCACTGACTTTCTCCCCTGCTCCCTCTGAATCACTTATCACGCCATTGAATGTGGTACCTTTGTCCTACCTGACTGATTAGTCCCTGACACCTGAAGCAGAAGAAGAAACACAGTCACTTCGAGGGCTTTTATGAGGAACAGCCCCTGTGTGCTAGTCTTTGTAGATGCCCACTGGCTCACAAGCACAAGATGATTCCTTTACAGCTGGGCCGTCTACTTGTTCTGTATGATCTAGGTTTGACAGGGAGGAGAAGTAAAATGTGATATCCTTCAGTATAATGGGGGACTGGCCAGTGAAGGCCCACTCCTCGGAGTGCATGAATACTTGGCGAGCCTGCTTCAGAACAGGGCTTTCTATTATGCGTGCCCAGAAGTCAGCTCACTACCATCCGTGAGGGTCCTCTGCCCACGTGCCTCGTCCTGAGCACTCGCTGGCCAGTCCTCCATCATGCCAGCACGAGCATTAGGATCATCTTGTTCCTAAGTTACAGGCCTCACTTTACCCACAGTGCCTGACCCCACAGTAGATGATGCGATAGTCATAGTCAGTGGGCCGGATAGACTCTTAGGGGATCCTAGTCCAACCTCTTCATTTGGCAGTTGGGGAAACTGAGGCCAATATCCTTTTTTCTTGCTGCTAGACCCAGCCCCTTGCCTGGGCAGTGTGAAGTTTCTCCAGCTTACAAATGAGAGCTTGTTCCTTTATGAATTAGTCTTTTCTGTTCTTCCTGACTCCCTCTTCCTGTCTTCCTCCTACTCTCCCTGCTTCTCTTGACTACCTCTCTTCTCCTTTTTTCTCCTATTCTTCTTCTCCTTCCTTCCTTTTCTTTCTTTCTTCTCCTTCCTTTCCTTTCCTTTCTTCATTTTCAGTTCTTTTGCACTTATCTGAACTCGTATACGTTATCTTTCTCTTGCAGTGAAGATTGGTGGGACCCTGGGGAGGGTGGAATCCCCAGCATTTGTGGCAGAGCCTCCCATGTCAGATAGCATTCTGTCCCCCATGTAATCAGCTCTAGTCATTTCTCCAGCATAGAGTCCATGGGGGTGTATACCTGAGTCCACGGAGAAGACAGTAGCCATTGGAGCCTGACTCCTGACGGCTGGCATGGACCACTCACCCTTGAAACACAGTGAAGCCTTGGCATGACCCAGCTGGAGGGGTAATGTCCCTCAAGGCTGCAGCTGCTTTGTTAAACCCGTAGTATGGCGTACCAGCCTCTGGCTTCAGCATAGTGATGAAAGTTCCACCCCTTCCTGGGCCCCACCTACTAGGGTGTGTCTGTCCTCACAGAGGGCCTTGTTAGGACAAGGGCCACACCATTCACTGGGGTGGGGGAGCAGGAGGAGCGTAGTGGCATCCAAAGGCCTTCATTACTCAGATCTCCCAAAGGAGATCACCCCTCCCACTCTGGCTGATGGCACCTTTCCAATGTGTCTCTGGGACATGGGGCCATAATTCAGCCCACAGGATGACCGACATTAGAACAGGAAGGGGGGAATGCTGAGGACGGTCCTGATGATAGGTGTATATTTCCAGATAATCCTCACCTTAAACAAGGAACTGTCTAGATAAAGAGGCAACTCTGGCCAGGGAGCCATGATGGAGTTCAGCAAGCAACCTTGAGTCTGGGAAGAGAGCCAGAGGATGGAGTCGCAAGGAAAGGAAAGGCCTTAATGAAGTTCCCAAAGACGGAGTTCTTAGGTTCATGGTATTTAGAGCTGGAAGGAATCTGAGAGATGGTCTTGTCCAACATTTTACAGTAGGAGAAATTCAGGCCCAGGTTCAGGATTTGCCCAAGGTCACTCGGGCAGTCAGTAGCAGTGCTGGGATTTGAACCCAGTGACCCTGACTCCAAATCCGGTGCTCCTTCCACGCCACCACGGGAATGTCTGGCACCCTGAAATTGGCAGGCCTGCCTGGCACACTGGAAATGCCTCATCAGCCACAGAATTAGTTGGCTTTAAAATAAAAGAGCAGTCGTGTTTCGCATGTTGAATTTGTTGTCGTGTGTTATTTTAGTAATATTTTCAGGCTGAACACCTCGAGGGAAATGTGATGGAGAAAGGGAGTAACAAATGCAACATAGACTAGCAATAGACCAGAATGCAGAGACAGATCGATTAGAACAGGCAACAAAGCCCATAGGTTGGATGTCCCTTGCATACCCGTCCCTCTCCTTCTTTCCCAGAGAGCCACTATGGTGGGGCTAGGGTAGGGGGTGGAGGTTGACCCAATTCCCCAAGGAAAGACCCCCAGTGCAGAAAGCAAAAGCACCCCCCACTGGAGAACCGGTTGTTAAACATTTTACCAGGACACTCCTGAATACATATGGTTCTATGGCCAGTGCTACATGTCAGGTAGCTCTCAGACACAGTCCTGAGCCATATCAAAGGTACCTTGGCATCAGCCCAGTCTCCACAGTGGCTTGAGTCCATGGTCTCTTAGTGGAGTCTAAGAACTCTGCTAGGTTTTCTGACAATGAAGGCATCTGGGAAGAGCACTAGACTATGGGCATATGGGGCTGGAAGGGGACAGAGAGGACAGCCTGGCCTGAGACAGGATCTGCCTCACTGGCCTTTCCGCCTTCCAGAGTTCCTAGGCTCCACTGAGGTAGGACTCAGGACTGTGTCTATTAGCTGCCTAACAGGTAGCACTGGCCATAGAACTCTTTATGCAGGGGTATGCTGGTAAAATGTTTAATAACCGGTTCTCTGAATTAAAAAAAAAAATGTTACCACTATATACTTTAAGTTTCATTTGGATTTTGTCCATCACTTCCTTGTCTAGACAATCAACAAAATAAATTGAACTCTAATTTGTAACATTTGCCAATTTCCAAGGTGTAAACGTTCACACTGAAAATTTAACCACTTTCTCTAGCACACCCATGGGTGTATGACACCAGTCTAAAAAGCACTAAGTATTTTTCAGAGGGCGGGTTGCCCAGCACAGCGTCAGTCTCTGCCCCAGCTTCCAGGAAGGGTCCCACACTTCGAGGTTCATGGTTCCTCTTTTGGGACCAGGGGCATTTTGCTATGTCCAAGACACAAAGAGGCTTTTAATGTATCTTGATATCCTTTCTTTCCTCTTTCCTCTTTGTGAATTCCCAGTCTGTGACATGGAGGATGGAAGCAGTGGTAGCAATGACACACACACAGCTCTTTAATGTGTTTTGGAGGTAAGGAGGCTGACCTTGAACATCTAGCTGGATCAGACAGGAAACACTGCCTTTCTGTTCTCACACATTTCCAATAACAGCCATTCAGTGAGGCCAGGAGCAGTGGAACCCAGATTGGCTCACTTCTCCAACCCTGCTATCACCTGGGGAATACCAGGGCCCAAGAACAATTCAGCACCCTCTAGCAGCAAAGCCTGTCAACTCTAAGCATCTTTTTGTCTGAGCCAGGAGAGAAATTTCATTATACCTGTGAGCCTAATCAGTGCTAGGCCAAACAAGGTCCAGGCCTACTCAGACAAAGTAGGATAGATTAAATGACCTCTTTGGGTCCCTTCCTTCTCAGACACTGTGCAAAGTGATGCTTGTTGCCAGGGAGGGTTGCTAGCCTATAAGAGCTTGTGCTAACCACATGGTTCCTCTGCAATTTCTGCTCTTTCTAGAAGTGACTAATTTTTTGTCTTTTTCTTTGCATTTCTATTGTGAATTTGGGGATCTTAAGGCAATACCTTTCTTGGAGACAGCAGAGCAGTGCATGAGAGGGATTGGTATATAAAGGAGCAAAGAGAATGGGCCAAAATAACCAACTTTCCTTCCTTCCTTCCTTCCCTCCCTCCTTCCCGTCTTCCCTTTTTTCTCTTCCAAGCATCTGAACTCATGGCAAACCCTAGGCTCAGTGACGCAAACAGGACAGCGGATGCTTTTCCAGCTAGAGTCACCAGAGTGAGGCATCTGCCCGGAAGCCCCCCAAGGAGTGTCTCCCTCAGAACTGCTCTCCAAAGACAGTGTCTGTAGTGACTCACCTTCCTCTCTGGTGAGCAGTGACTAGAAGGAGCCACAGTCATCCTCGGGGAGACTTTTCTTGAGGAAAACTTGCCAAAGGTCCTGGTTGGGACTGTCCAGAAGCTTGGGGTTCCCACTTTGCCCTTGGAGAAGACTCTCGAAGCTCCAAAGGCAGTGCCCCTGCCCAGTGCTCCCCCTTGCCAAGTGGAGCCTGGAGCAGGGCCAAGGGGCCTTTTCTTCAGGGTTATACACAGAGTTCCAGCTCACGCCGACTGGGACTTCTTCACTCCAGGGCCTTCAAAGGTTTTTCCACAGCCTTGGAGATGGGCTTTGAGTTGAGGGCTCCATTTCCTTCACATTCCAGTTGGCCCCACAGCTCCCTCTGCGGGCACCCTGTCCTTAGTGATGGAATGCGTGCAGCGAGGGACTTGTGGGATTTAGAGAACTTTAAAAAACAAAAAACAAAAAACAAAAAAAAACACTAGGACCTAACACTGTTTCACTATTGAAATACGAGGCCATAGGACTCTGCAAGGCAGCACGTGCACTGGCTGACTTTTCCCCAGACAGACGGTGGCAGGCCAAGTGTGTCTGCCAGCCACCTTGAAGCCATCACCAAGCATTGTAAAACATCCAAGTGGCAATGCTTTCATAACAACCATCTCCTTATTTTACCTATGCCTGAAGATTTCTTTTTATTTCAAAAGCAGCCTTAACCATTCCAATTTGATTTACTTGTGTATACCTCATAAGCATTTTTCTTTCATTTTTCTTTCCTCGTCTTCCCCCATCTCCCCTTCCCACCCCACCCCCAACATACTTTTTTTTAACTCCTTCTCCTTTTACTCTGTACCTGGTTATCACGGGGTGTCCTCTGTAGAAGCAATAGAGTGCAGTAGGCTATAAGAGCCCCACTCGGAGGTGGGATGACATCAGAAGAGGTCGCCTCTGCCATTCTCCTCTTACTGTGCAATTCAAGTCCTTCTTAAGCCATTACCGGTGGGCGTGCTCAGAAATTTAAAAACAAAAACCCACGAAGCCCATGTGGTTTGAGTTGCCACTATGAAGTTCCTAGAACCTCTGGCATGGGAAACGAGAGGGAGCCGCAGTCAGCAGCTGGTGAGCCCAGGGTAGGGGTGTCCTGGTTGTCACCAGGATGACTGCGTTAAGCCAGCCTCTCTCGCCTCAACAGTGTTCCAGACAACCAACCTGATGGTCCCATACATTGGAGCTTCCCTTCAACCTGAGCAACAGCAACAAGTCTCATTTCTAACATTCTATGCAATGAAATACAAAAAACAAAACAAAAAAAAAAACAAAAAAAAATTAAAAAAAAACAGAACACACTACACCTGTTAATATTTAATAAACTAAATGTTACGTATAAGAATTTAATTGCAAATGTGCTATGGAGAAATTGGATGGATATGTTTCTAGCTAACACCTGTGTGTGTGTGTGAAGTTTTCAATTTGTGGCATGTTCGACCCATTCGAAGGACGCGTCGTTGCCAAAGGGTGACCATGCTGCTGTAACGTCTCCTGTCCTAGAGTAGAGCATGGCTTGCTACCTCTTTGCACGAATTCATCTACTTTAAAATGCTTGCCGTACTTTGCTCGGGGTTCTTTTTGCCTCAGTCCCTAGCCTATACTCAAATGCTTTTTGTCGACTTATGCACTTGTTATTGAAGGATTGTCTGTGCTAATGGGAGAGGTGCCTCGAGCCCAGAGAGAGGTCCTGAGCCCTCCCACCCATGCTGACCTACTGATGACTTTTCCCCTCACTGTCTCCTTTCCACAGATCTCGAGTCCTGTTAACAAGTCTGAACATGGAAATGAGCCCACCCCTTCTTGAACCCCCATAACCCAATATACTTCTCTTCAGTAGATCATAGGAGCTAGAATAGGAAAAGGCTTTTGAGAAAATCTAATCCAACCCCCCCTGCCATTTTAGAGATGTGTCAGCTGAGGGCCAGAGAAAGAGGAGGCAGTTACTTGACTAAGGTCACACAGAAAGTAAATAGTCAACATGGGATATGAGTCTGAGTCATCTGACTCCATATTCAGCGCCCTTCTCATTACACCAGTCTTCCCAAAGAACCACCTCTATCACCACCTCCCCACACAGACCATACACTAGCAGAGACAATACCACGAGCCTTGAAATGGAGAAGATAAAAAGCAATTCAGAAGAGAGTTGGAGCAGTCCCAGATATCTCTCCTTTCTATCCTTAAATGAGCTTATCTTACCTCCATTGGCCCCAGTTGTGAGAATTCCCCAAGGACTGTGCTCAGGGCTTCAAAAACTGTCTGTTCATAGTAAACTGGAGCCTTCAGCCTCTGTGAAACTCAAAACCCAAGGTAGCTGCATTGGTCCAGGGCTTCGCTGGGGGGGGGGGGGGGGGGGGGGGGTGCTGAAAATCCATTTTCCAAAAAACGGATTTGATACCAATGGGCTCTGGGTTAGGACTTGAAAGGTTGTTTTATTGGTTGTCCCATTATGGATAGGTTTGTTATACCTCGGTTTTACCTGTGCTGCTAAGTCCTGACTAAAGCAGGCCATTTCTGAAAGGGGATGGAGCCGCTAAAGAGCTAAAGTGAGTACCAAATCTCAGATTGCTCCACTTCCCCCTGGAGAAAGGGCTAGGACTCAGGATTTAGAGACCTCTTTTCTTAGCTTTGATCAAAGAGAGACTTTCTAGGAACCTCAGCCCATGTCTAAAGCTTTAAAAAAAAAAAAAAGCCCAAAACTTTCAAAGGCAATAGAAAGAAAAGGGCCAAGAATGGCAAAAGGAATAATCTTTGGCGTTTATGAAGACTAGTGTTGGAGCTGCTGACCTTTGGAAATGAAATAAGACAGATTGGTAAAGGACGTCCAAACTCTGTGTGGGACCCTTGAGAGTTTCTGGACTGGTGAGGTGCCAAGCTTTTCTTTCCCTAGACCACCATCTCTAAGGCAGCACTGACTTCCACCATGCCTTGGGAAGTCCCCAGGGGGCCCAGGCACATCAAAGG